GCTTTCACTCCGTTGCTGAGGCTGGAGTGCTGTGGCACAATCGTTGCTCACTGTAGTCTTGATCTACTGGGTTCAGGTGATGGTCCTGCCTCAGCCTCCCGAGTAGCTGGGACTATATAGTATGCGTACTCTACCATGGCCAACAGATTTTTGTATTTTTTGCAAAGATGGGGTTTTACCATGTTGCCCAGGCTGGTCTCTAACTCCTGAGCTTAATGATTCTTCTGCCTCAGCCTCACAGATTGCTGGGATTGTAGGAATGAGCCGCCATGCCTGGTCTCATTCTTCTCTTTATGAACTTTTTACAAACATCTTTTTAAAAGATTAGATGTTTTAAATAACTTCTTCAAATTACTATTAAGGAGCATCACTGGGATAGTTGATGTAATTTGTATATGACCGCAGGACACCAGATGCATGCTAATAACATTCATTTTTGTTTGGGAAAATGGTTTTCCAGTTACATAAGAGCATGTGCTGGATTGTAAGGGGATACCCCTAGTTTTTTGGGGGTAAAGATATGTAGAGCCTACGTCTTAACCTTTTTTTTTTTTGAGACAGTCTTGCTCTGTTGTCCAGGCTGGAATGCAGTGGTGTGATCTGCAGCCTCTGCCTCCTCAGTTTAAGCTATTCTCCTGTCTCAGCCTACTGAGTAACTGGGGATTATAGGTATGCACCACCATGCCTGGCTAATTTTTGTATTTTTAGTAGAGATGGGTTTTCATCATGTTGACCAGGCTGGTCTCAAACTCCTGACCTCAGGTGATCAACGCACCTCAACCTCCCAGGGTGCTGGGATTACAGGTATGAGCCACTGTGCTAGTCCTGTAAGTGTTTGAATGGTTTATGTTACTGTAAACTTGGCAACATGTTAATAGTGGTGAGTTGAGTGAATTCTTCTTAATATGATTTATTTTTCTATACATTTGAAATTATTTTAAAACAAAAAATGAAAGTGTTTAACTTTTTATTATAAAAGTGTTCAGTTGGCTGAGTGTGGTGGCTCACACCTGTAATGTTAGCACTTTGGGAAGCCGAGGTGGGTGG